TGTTACTTTAATTGAATTATTCTAAATGATCACGATAAGAAAGTAGAACATACTAGAGAGTGAGGTCAAAATCTCACACCAAAGGGCTCTTTGTAACTTAAAAAGTTGTATGGTCACATATTTTCTTTTTTTTTTCATTCCTAGTATTTATTAGGACTACTTTCAGAAGGAAGAATTCATTAGCATTTACATTGCTGTGATTTTTATTACCATTTTTTTAAATTATTTTTTTCAAATACATTTGTCTCTGCCTCCCCCCCACCACTTTCCCTTGCCCCCTCCCTCCTTCCCTCCCTCAACCCTTCCCCTTTGCTTTTGTCCATGAGTTCTTGCTATATGTTCCTTGACTTTCCCCTTCCCTTCCTTTTCCCCTCGCCCCTCCCCCCTCCTTCCCTCTTGTCTCTGTTGGTTTCTTTTCCTTTCAGTGTTGCTGGTCTTATTTTCCTTGCATCTTTGTTATTGTTGGTTAGGTTCCGCTTATAGGTGAGATCATACGGTATTTTTCTTTCACCCCCTGGCTTATTTCGTTTAGCATAATGCTCTCTAGTTCCATCCATGCTGTTGCGAAGTTTAGTAGCTCTTTTTTTCTTTCTGCTGCATAGTATTCCATTGTGTAAATGTACCATTATTTTTTTATAATAGTTCTATATTTTATTTATTTTTTTAAATTTTATTTTAATTTATTTTTTCAAATACATTTGTGTCTACCTACCCCCCACCACTTTCCCTTGCCCCCTCCTTCCCTCCCTCAACTCTTCCCCTTTGGTTTTGTCCATGAGTCCTTACTATATGTTCCTTGACTTTCCTCTTCCCTTCCTTTTCCCCGCCCCCCTCCCTCCTTCCCTCTTGTCTCTGTTGGTTTCTTTTCCTTTCAGTGTACCATTATTTTTTGATCCAATCATCTACTGATGGGCATTGAGGTTGCTTCCAGCACTTGGCTGTTGTAAATTGTGCTGCTATGAACATTGGGGTGCATAGGTTCATATTTTCTAATGTCAAATTAGCCAGGGACTATCTCTACCCACTTATTATTATATGGAATGATTTATCATTATACTTCAGGAGAAATACAAAAGGTCCAAAGCCAAGAGGGAAAATTATTGGTGGGATCAGAGAATAAAACATTACTCAGATGAAGAATATAAAAGTAGCAAAATCAATGAAAAGTTCAAAGCTAGTAAATAGAGAAAATTGGATAAACCATCAGGGTGAAACTGTGAAACAGTGATGTACAATGGTTACCAGCAACTACAAACTTACACTGGGAAGCTAATAAGTACCTGACAATATACTAGAAATTTTACATATGCTCTCTCATTTAATCTTTACAACAAGAAGTCAAGTACTATTATCATTGTTTCTATTTTTCACATATGAACTGAGGCTCAGAGAAGTAGCTTGCTTAAGGCCACAAAACCAGTAAATGACAAACTTTGTATTACAACCCAGATCTGACTTCAAAGCTTGTTGAATTACTCTATACTGTCTCAAGCTAGGTCTCATTTTTCAGGGGGAGAATGAAGCAAATAAGAGTATAAAATACTTTTTAAGCTTAAATTTATTATAATCTCAGTGATAATCTTTGGAAAAAAACAGGTTTGTTGTCTTTTTCTCCATCCCCCGCCCCCGCCTCAATGAGGCTGGGGAGAAGATTGGTAATAGAACAAAAGTGAGGAGAGTAAACAGTTGGATAATTTATCAAAACAAAAAAAGAGCTGCTATTAGAAGTATTTTATCCAATTCTCAAAGAGTTTAGACTGAGAGAACAAATTAAAAGTAAATTAAGGTTTACCAGAGGGAAAGAGGGGTAGAAGGGTAAGTCGGGATCAACGGTGATGGAAAGAGACTTCACTTTGGGTGGTGAATACAAAATACAATTTACAGAGGATGTATAATAGAATTGTACAGTTGAAACCTACATAATTTTTGTAAGCAATGTCACCCCAATAAATTCAATCAAAATTTAAAAAACTAAGGTTTTAATAACCACTATTGTCACATGGCTCAAAAATCAAAATAATACTGAAAGATATTCAGAAAATGGTTTCATCCTTACTCTTGCCTCCATTCATCTCATTCCTCTTCTCCCATGAAGGTAATGACTTGTGTCAGTTTCATGTGTATCCTTGTAGAATTACTTCATATGATTATGAATGTACTTATTTCTCCCCTTCATTACACATACTATACACACTGATTTGAACCTTGCTTTTCTCAATTGCAATATGAGCAAAATTAACACTAAAATAGCATATTAAAGCCCTTTAGAGAATAAAATGATTTTAAATTGTGACCAAAATCTATACCAACAAATAACATTATTCTAGTAGTAAAATTAAACAGGATCATATTAAATTACAGGTTTCAAAATACAAAAAATTAACTCCATTTAACCCTAAATCAACATTTCAGCTACCAAGCATTTAGCTCCTAACCATTTGGTAATTATTGAGTATTTTTGTTAATATAATGGTTTTCTCTTTCTTCATCTACATTTTCTCAAGTACAAATGTGTAAATAATCTTTTGCCTGAGAGTCTTTTCCTTTGGACAGAGAAGTTTGCATTACTGTTTTAAGAGGAGTTTCCAAAAATTGTTTCAAAACCTAGGAAGTCTTTGACTATTCAATCTCCTTGCTAGAAGAAACTACTGAATGTAAAGAGCCAGGGAACAGAAAGAGAATAATTTATTGCAGTGAGTCTGATTTTAGAAACTCAAACTATCTAAAAGGTAGAAAAATAACAAAAAAAAAATTGATGCTTTCAATATGTAACAAAATCAGACCACAGGACAGTTTTAAAAAGAGTGATACAAAGTTAAACACTGATAACTTTGTTCACTCTACAACATTGGAAATTAGATTTGCCTGCATCTGCTGAAACCGTGGCTTCTCCACACACTCTATATCCAGAGTGAGACACATGCGCACAGACAGGGGACATGCACAGAGTGATGATAGCCAGGCTTCAATTCGGGCTACTGCTGCTGGTGCTGCTCCTATTTATTGAAATCAAATAACTGCTGTATCAACTTCCAGTAACCCCTCCCACAATACCTTGACTACCCCAAGCCCAGTGGACGAGACCACGAAGGCAAGTGGCTGTGCTCTGCAGTCAATGGCCAGTCTCATTCTTTCTTCTACCTCTCTATTGTTGAGACTCAGTCAAGAAATGTCTATATTTCCCCAACTTCTAAACCCAATCCAAATGGCAACTGGACATCCAGTGTGACAAGGAAAAAACAGGTCTTCATTGACTCTGCTAATTCCACAACTAATTTTATTGACACAGAAAATGTTGAAGATCCCCAATTTTTTTATTACAGGCTTTTTTTTAAATTGTGGTAATACATAACAAAATTTGCTATTTTAACCATTTTCTTTTGCTGATGATTCCAAATTTGTTTTGAAGAGCTTGTGCAGGGTTGGATTAGATGATGAATGCTAATATTAAATCTGCTGGAGTTTCATGTACAAGATGAAGAGACATGTCTAAAATTGGCTCAGAGATGACTTCCTTAAATGTGGATTAAGAAGTATAGACACATAAAACTCTACCTTTTATGAAAATGAATAGATTTTATCTTCTCTAGAGATAAAGAGTGGGATTTGGAACAGTTGTATTTTTCATTTGGTTCATTAAAGCTGTAAGGCCATAAAAAAGGTAATGCAAAAAGCTTCCATGGTTCTATTTATATGTACATTAGAAGAGGCTTCCAGGCATTCCTGTAAATCCTCAATATATTGCTTAGCAGTACTAATTTAATGCCCCTGTAACTCTAGATATCTAGATAAAGTTTTCCATTGTTAAGCTATTACTGTTCTTTTGGGAGCAGAATTCTTTCTTATGAGGCTTTGTGTCTGACATTGCATTTGACTGTCTATGTAGTAATTGATACGTGCCAGGACAATAATGAATTGGAATCTACCCCAAATCCAAACAAAATGAATGAATTTTGCCTTTATACTTATCACATACTCCTCCTATTCAACAAGAGTTCCAGATTCATTTTGCTAAACTAATTCTAAAGGATATAAGTATACAGACCTCAACTAATTTAAAAAAGCATTTTATTTCTGCATACAATTAAAAATGATTTGTTTTGAAGGTAAAATAGACATACCTTAAAATTGAAAAAGCAAATATGTGAGGGAGTCAAAACTGTAAATAAGGTGTTTGGGAAGCGAAGACTGGAAGCTTATCTACATTGGATTCAGAAAAACTTTTAGACTCTTTCTGTACTTAACTTTATTTTTAAAACTATAAATCAGAATAGCCACATTTGGAACATTTTCTATTATTGGTCAATATTTTGAGATAGCTAGAACCTTATCCTAAAACTAATGTGGACTTGATTCTGGAAAGTAAATCTTTTCACAACTGCTTCAATGCACAGAAACCTTTTGAAATTAGACACTTCCTAAAGTCTTGTTTGCATGGTCACACACTGATGCTTAAATGTTCCAGTATCTAATATGGCCACAGTAGTCTTGATAACCAAAGTCACTGTTTTCTATCTTTAGAAACCTACCTAGGAACACCACATCCAACAGATCTCAAGCTACTGTGTGTGTGAATGAATATTCCCTTTTGTTTCATACCTGAATGCTATACATATATTCTGGATTGTATAGTGTGTTTGCATATTTATGCTTTGATTTGTAGTAACTTATCATGTTATTTACAATCTGTAAATAAAAAATGACTGAAAGAGCAAAAAATAAAAACAAAACATTGGAAATTACTGACCTAAATGAAAACAGTTATATTAAGAACTACCAGGGCTGAAAAAAAATAAGTACATAATGGTTGGCATTAATGGACAATGAACAAAATAACTGGTCATAGGCATAGTCTTCAGTCACAAATGACGCAGCCTCCAACTACCCTGGCCTCTTGTAATTAATTTCATTACCAGTGAGTCAAACATTTGTCATAACACTGAATAAGCCATAAAACAATGTTTTTAGAATTGAAAAGTTCAAAGCAAACTCTCACTTACCTTCCCTGTTAGAACTGAGGGAAATTCAGTATCAAACTTGTTGCTCAAGCCAAACCTTAAAAACAAAGACAGAACAAAATATATTCTACCCAGCATATTTAACTCTATCCCATTTTTTTTAAAAGTTACAAAGCCATGCATTTTTCTTTTGATGTTGTGATTTTAAAATGTGTCCTAAAATAATTTTGATATTTATAGAAAACAAACCTTTGACTATTAATTCTAATTAAATGAAACTAACTGGATTCATGATATGGAATTAAAAATAATAAGTTAGAGAAACACTGACATAGAACTGGAAATATAATTTTTTAGACTTTATTTATTTATTTTTAGAGAGGGGAAAGGAGGGAGGAGAGGAAGAGAAACATCCATGTGTGGTTGCCTCTTGAGTGCCTTCTTCTGGGGACCTGACCTGCAACCCAGGCATGTGCCATGACGGGGAATCAAACCAGAAACCCTTTGGTTCACAGTCTGGTGCTCAATCCACTGAGCCACACTAGCCAGGACTGAAAATATAATTTTTGACTGAAATGCTTCTGTTAAAACTATTTTAGTTGATAACTGTTGGGGCTGGCTGATGGGTAGTATGTGAGTGGATTTTACTACTCTTTCTACTTTTGTGTCTATATGAAAATTTCCCTAATAAAAACTAGTAAGACCTTTAGAACCACAGAGTTCGACAACTTCTAATCAGTTACTATTCAGAAACTCAAAGGTTGATCCTTATGAATGGCTCTTATGTATATGTCCAACCCATTTTAAGAAAACAGATGCCAGCCTTGGAAGCTCTTTCTCCAAGTATGCTCGTTGAAATCTGTACTAGGAAGGCAGAATGAATTTTATAAGCCTTTCTTCATGTACTTGTTGATTTCAGAAGGCATAACAAAGGTCACTTCTTGCATACCAGATGATACATCATAGTGACTACAATTTTATATTAGTGATTGATGGGTTGTAAGCAAAAAGGAACAGATATTAACATTTATTATCAACCTTTTTTGAGGTAGGCAATAACAGTTAACACTTACCAGTGACTATGGATTTACCATGGGTGAGATACTCTGCTAGGTCAATACACTGCTACTTCTAGACTTTACAACTCTGCAAGAGAGGTACAGTTGTCCTGGTTTTACATACAAAGAAGCTGACACTCAAATTTTTTTTCAAAAAGTAATTAAATGATTTGCCTTAAGTTATATAACTAGTAAGGTGTGTACCAAAATTCAAATGCCAATCTTTAAGTTCTTTTTGCCCTATATTAAGCTCCTGGAAAACAGAAACTACTGTTTATTTATTTTGCTACCTTCCATTATGCTTAGTAAGTGTTTAATAAAAGTTTTTTGAATAATAAGCTACTATTTAATGTTTGATTTAACTGATTTATGGCACTTTGGTCTTAGGGTCACTTTAAAGATATAAAGAATCCAATGTCCTATTAAAATTCTATGTAGGAATATTATATTCTCTTTGTATTAATATGGTAATAACTTCTTTTCAAAGACAGAAGCCAGTCTTAAACACAAAAACTCTATACTTAGGATCTAGTAGCAAGGCATATATCTGTGCATAAATACACTATACCTGTATGTTCAGAATGTATTTTATAACAACAAATTCTACTGATATATTTTTAAATAGTTGACAAAATTATTAGCAATTGAAAACAGAACTTTATTAAAAAAATACTTCATTACTTCTCCAGGTGTCAGTACAATATGTAATGAGAACATAATATTCTCATAATAACATTCCCTTTATATCTATACATAGACACAGGAGCATAGCCAAACTTAAAAACAAGATGGTATGCCCTGTACATGAGTTTTTATGGCAACTTTTATATGCTGTTTGAGAAACTGACATTCTAGTATTAAATATACATTTTAAACTATGTACTAACTCAGAAATCAGTAATAACATGACAAATATTTAAAAGAGCAAGAAACACATTTCATTTAAATCATATTTACCTAAACAATAACTTTATCACTAGTCAAAAAGATATAATTTATTATTCCACAAAGAGTAAATTTGTATTGTGGAATATATACAGGTTTCATTTTTAGAAAGTAGACATGATATATTTTAAAGTAGAGCTCTATTTCCATTATTTTGTCTAAATGCCTTTTAGATACAATGTCAATAACATGTTCTTACCTCCATCAGATTGTTGCCATTTTAACTTTTCCCACATGCTATTTTTTTACTAGATATCAAATAAGTAGAACATATAGACAGATATATCTCCCAAAAGGTGTCAAGTATCTCTATTATTTTAAAAGTTCTTAGCTTTACCATTCTCTTTGCATTTATCAAAAGACAAATGAACCTTCTTTTCCACTGTTTTCATTTCCTTAATATCTCCTTATTTCTTAGCCTTTTGAAATTTGACTTTTGATGTTGTCACTTTACTGAAAACAACCTTATTCACATCTTATTTGTTACCAAATTCAATGTCCTCTTCTCAGAACTTTCCCCTCGACTTTGCAGCTTGTGATACCATTGATCATACCCTTCCTAACACTCTTCCATTCTTTCACTTTCCTGTAACACTTTTGCCTTTTCCCCAAATTTAGCCTTTAGTCATCTGCTTGTCTTTCTAAGGAAGCTACAATAGTTAATCTATATTTAATAGCTTTGACAATTAATTTTATGCTGATGACCATCAAATCTGTAGCTCTAGTTTTATATTTTCCAACATGCTGTAGTGTCTAGTCTTTAATTGCATATTGAAAATTTCTATTTGGATATGTTGCTACAAAATAATAATGCCACAAGTCAAATATGTCTAAAATTAAATGTTACCTTTTATTGGAATTGGCTGCCCTTTTCAAATTCCTCATCTCCATCAATGGCGCATTGACACTCTCTAACCTAGAGTATGGTATCGTTTTTTTACACCTTCCCTCTACTCTTTTTTTTCTGCATGTTGCTTGCATTCAGGTAGTTCCAAGTCCTGTTACTTGTCCCTTTGAAATCATTCTCAATGATTCCTTCCTTTCCAGTGCTACTTCAGTGTTGGCTCTTGTCTTTGCTCATGTGGTTCCTCTTGTGTCCTCTCCCTAGTTTAAATCCTTCGCAGACTTCAAGGCTCAAGTCAAGTTCCAATGCCTTGAATGCTCAAGCTTTTATGGATTATCCCCTTTTCCGAACATTTGCAGCCACTTCTACTCTGTACTATCCAATTCAACATTAATAAATTTATTTTTATTTTGGTGTTCTACATCAATATCTTAAAGGCAATTTTCCTGTTAGCTTCGTAAAATAAGGCCTGTATTATGTTTTTCTGTATTCTTCACAGTGTTTAGCCCAGTGCTCAAGTTCTCAAGAAATACTTGCTATAGTCATATTACTAATTTTCTACTCTAATATAAAAAGAGAATGTTTTTTCTAAAATATAAAAAGTATATTAGAAATGGTAAAGAAAGTATCATTTTACTTCTTAAAACATTCCTTTATGGCCTACATTTATCTACTTCAGAGAGGTATAAGGATAGGCAAAGTAGGCCCAATAAACTTTCATAATTTTGGCTAAAAGGCTGTACCAATCTTGTTCTTGCCTACTAGGATTTCTCCCTTAACTTTTTTTTTATTAGAGACCTAGCACTTAAAAAGACTACTTAACTCAAATAACCTTAAGCATAACATTTCACTTAGTAACTATTAAAAAATGTTGAAATGGCTTCTGCTGCTGAACAAAAACGTCAGCTATTTCATTAACAAACCATTAAGTTAAAAACTGAGTCCACAGAGGTCAAACAAGCGCATCTACCCATTACTAATTAGTGACAGATATTATCAAGGATGTGGGGTTCTTTAGCATTAGACAAACAGGCATTTGGGAACTGCTCATGCTGTTGTTTTATTGGCTTCATTATATATAGAGCCTATTATGTGTTTGAGATGGTCCCAGTTGGTGGCTCCTAATGACTGTATTTTATTTGTCAAATGTCTTCAATGCTCCAAATTTTAATTTCTTGGACAATTCTTTAGAGTAAAGGAAATTAAGGCAAAGAAGGATGGGTCCTCTTAGCTGTTCTTTCCTCTTCTCTCCCTCCCTATATCCCTCACTGTTTTTAATCCTTTTGAAAATGGCTATACAGCAGTCTTTGGAAACCTTGCACAAATTAAACCTCATGTGTTCTGGTTGTTTAGGAAAAGAAATCATAGTGTAGTAAAATTCTGCCAGCAAGAAATGTGATTTAATTAGAAAAGTATGTACTTATAGTAACACTGATTCTGAAGCATGTGCACTGAACTTTATTTACTATATCAAGGAAAATAAAAATTTATTCCATACGATTCAGAGATTTTCAAAAAAGTATTGTTAAATCTCTTTAATCTCTCATATGGAAACAATCATGTCTGTAAACAGTAAGTAAACACTGTAAAATGGAAAGTGTTACCATAGCTTCAGCATTCTCAAAGTCTAAAATCTTGTAAAATATTTACATTATACAAACACAAATTAACAATGTATCACTGTAATTCCTCAAAGAGAGCTGTTAACAGAAAAGGCATTCCATTCACTGATTTGAGAAGTATTAATATTTGTAGTGCTAAGTTTTTGCAGAAATGCACTATTTGGCAAATTTGGTCATTTTCAATTCTATATGTAATCACTTCAGCTCTTTTAGATTTACTTTAATGAGACAATTTTATAAATACCTGAGAATTGGTAACCTATCATCTCTACTAACTTCTATACAGATGTACTGTCAAGGGTAAATAGCTATATATTTTAAGGAATATACAGAGTGTGGTGATGCTTACAAATAGGAAAAAAACTCATGAGATAAAATTTTCTTTGTATTTCAATACATCGGACCCAAATAGTTATCCTAAAAATATCAAGAAGAAAAGTAATAGATACTAAATTATATCACTCAGATGCTTAGTATTTCCAAAACACTTCATACTTCCAAGAAACATTTCATTATTTCTGTTTCTAGAACCTCAAAATGGTGGGAGTTAATTTAACCACATTTGGGGAGGGAATTTGGAAAAAGATCCCTAAATTTCTATTTATGATCATAATCTCAGAATTGGAATTACAATTACTGTGGTTAGATCATTCTACTTAAGAAATTATCATTGATTGTATGTTAAAAGATTAAAATCTTGTTAAAGTAACTAGAAAGCCAATATATTAGGAAGATACAAGTAGATGGGTTTGATGGGTATTCTGATACATAAGGGCTTGCTTAACAAAGCTTTCAGAGGTAAAGTCCATACCTCCCATCACTGGTGATATTATTGTATCCATACATACTTATGTTCAGAAACACAAATACTGTCCATAGCATGATTCAACTAACTAGTATTTGTTGAGGGCCTACAATACAGTATGCACTATGGTGTTACTAAAGTGAATCAATATGGAATGTTACTGAAGTGAACCAATATTCATTCAACTCACTTTTATTGAGAGTCTACTCCAGGGTAGGTACTGAGGATTCAGGGGGAACCAGAAATGTTCCTGCCATTGCAGCTTACAGTTTAGTGGGGGCAGAGAAGACTTGCAGGAGTTGGAGACATATGGAGAGCTGAGGTGAGGGCAGTGGGTACTGGAATACTAGATGAAGGCCCCATCTTAGAGGCAAAGAGATAAGCAACAGCATGCTATGAACAGGAAAATATAAGCAGTAAAAGGAAATGTCAGGAGGCTAGGCTGTTAGATCAGCAGGGTTCAGTTCAATATGCCACATCATGGAGCTTAGATTCTATTGTAGAAGTAAAGGGCAAACAACGGAATAGTCTTAAGCAGGAAAGTGGTGTCTTAGAGTAGTAGCAGGCTGGGGTTGGATGTGAATGTGAAAAGGTGAAGGCAGGACAACTAGTTAATGTGATGAAAGAGGTATGAATCAGGAAAGTGGTGGTACAGAAGAGAAGAATAATAGTTTCAGTCATATATTAATACTTCCTGGTTATCTAGTTGTGAAAATTATGAGTGAGAAAGAGGAATCAAGGATGAATAATGAGATCAGTGGAGGTACACTTAATTGAGATGGAGAATACAGAAATAGTAGGGGTTTTTTGAGGGGCTGGGACAGGTGTGTGTTTGTGTGGGGGGAAATGAGTTTAGCACTGAATATGTTGAATTTAAGATAATGGTGGGCCATAAAGTGAGGAAAACCAGGTAAGAGTCTGAGCAGAGAGCCTGGTACAGAGACATATACTTGGGAGACATCAGATAATAAAAGATGAGACCGTCTAGGGAGGGTAAGGAATGAGAATAGAAGGCTGAGAACAAAACCCTGAAGATAACTAATATTCAAGAGGCAAGAGAGGAAGAGAAGCCCATGAATGAGGCAGTTAAGGTATAGTCAGAAAAATACAAGGAGAACAAGGAAAGTGAAGTGGGCAAGGAAATTCCTTGGTTAGTTTGGCTGGAAAAATGTTTTCTTTTTAAATCAGAATTTAAATACCTGTAGGCAAAACATATACTTTCCAATTCAAGTAAGGCCCCATCATTACTCATGCTGCATCATTTTCTGTGATCTGTCTTGCCTCTGAAAGCCTGTGTATTTGTGCCCCCCAGAATAGAAGCCTCCAAGAAAGAGGGAGTCATTATAAGTGTCATACACAGCCGTGATGACCAGAAAGAGGGAATAAAAGATGCCCATTAATTTAGCAACAGAAGGGTCATGGTGATTTTAAGGTCAGTTTATCTGTGGTCATGGTGGTAGAATTCAGATTACAGAGGGGTGAAGAGAAAATAGATACGTTGAATGTAGCTAGTTTTAAGAAATTTGGGGAAGGAAGGGAGAGTAGACAGTAGCTAGAGGGGAATGTAGGTCTAGGAAAGCTTTTGTTTTTTAAAAATTAGACTCTTAACATGTTTACAAGCTGAGCCAGTAGAGAGGCACAGAGTCATAATATTAGGGCGATAGGGTCTTCCTGATGGAGCAAAATCTGGGAGGAGGCTGCAAAAGAAGAACAAGAAAGGCACAAGTGGAGGGTGGAGATTTGGACAAGTGGAGAAACTCCTTGACCTCAGAGTTTAGAGGAAGAAAGTACAGGAATTCAGACCTAATTAAGATCCAATGCAGGTTTTTCAGCAGGAAAATGACATGATTAAATTGTGTTTTAAGAAAATTAGTTTGGCACAAGCATGCAGAATAGATTGGAATGGGGAGAGGTGGCGGTCTGTGGCAATAATTCAAGCAGGAGACGATGGCAACCCAAACTAGAGTGGTGCCAGTAGAATGGATAAAATAAAGAATCTAATAAACATTTCAAAACACATGATGACATAATCCTGGGACTGACTGACATAGGGCAATTCAAGGAGGTGGAAGAGTTAAAATGACACAAGGATTTGGTGGTATCAGGGTCAGAAATGGGGCAACTGGATTACACAGCTAGTATGGGTAGGGAAAGTACTGAGTTTGAAGTGATTGGGGTTTTTTTTCAAAGTTTAAATTTTGAGAGCCAAGTCCTCTATAGAATAGATGACTGCACAAAGGATGGAAAAGAAAGAGGTGGAAAAGAATAAGATATATTTCATTCACATAGGGGAACTCTAACACTCCCATGCCAGAAAAAATTTAAACAGAAGCTGATATTTTAGACGTCTCAGAATTAGATTAACTACCTCCTAAGGATGTTACTTTACCTGATATAGGAAGGTTTTCCTACCATTGACAGATCAGAGACTCAGATCAAGTAAAACTTTCTCCTAAACATTTCATCTTTTTTCAAATCTCAGACATTTGACATCAAATTGTGAAAGAATGTGCACAATACAAAGTAATTTTCCGAACTATATGCACTGGTTAACAATTCAATTACTGGTTTGCTGCTTTTCAGGTTTTGGCTTCAATTAATGCCAACAGTTGCTACCAGCACCACTACTTCACACTCCTAATGCCAGAATTTTTAATCTGGGAGAGACATACCTATGACAAGGGCCAGGGCATGGCAAGTGTCAGTGCTTTGCTTTTACTTACAAAGGGGTTGGCAAGTACTTCACCATGGTTGTTTGAAGAGTAGAATGGAACCACAAATGAGTTTCAAAGAACTTAAATTCTGTTTTCTTGCTCCTTGTCTGTTCTCTGACTTATAGAAAATAATGAGGTGGAGGAGTGCTGGAATATAAAATATGTCTTGGAATAAAACGCTTTTTCTGTTCAGGAGTGAGAAATAATATGCATGAAAGTAAGCTTTTGTGCCAGAATCATAATTATTTTTTGAGTAAAAGTTTCCTTAGTGATAAAAGGTATGAAAGTAAAAACATTTCTGAATGCTGGCATCTGGTCATTGCAGTCCATCAGTAACATTCTTGGACCAAAACAAACAAAAGAAAAAAAAACCGTGTTAAAATTGCCTAACCAAAAAGCAGATCTAAAAATGTCCCCAAATTCTTTCACAATTTAAAAATCTTTCTTAATATATTTCATGCAAAGATTACAAAAGCATTACAATCAAAATACTCAACATGTTAAACTTAAAAGCTAACATGATAAGGGGAAGTGGTGCATATTATAACATGATTTCAGATAGTATAAATTCAGCTGAAAGTCAAAGGGGCTAGGGGAGCCATTATCAAAATCAGAGGCAGTGTGACTTGATAGTAAAAAAAAAAAATAGCTCTATGTTGAGGATGCAGCAAAAGATAGCATAATTAAGAGGATGAACATGACACCATATTGAAATTTGCAAATATTTACAGCCCAAGCACATAAAAATGAGGAAGCAGTTTTCAGAGCCCGGAGAACCACTAAAATTTTATTTTGCTTTGCAACTACTATGCTATGAGGTTCCCCCTTTTATTTTCTCAAATATTATTCAAGATTTCAATTTTTTGAAAAGTCACTCTGCATAAGTTTCCAAGAAATCATCTTTGGCTTCTTTGGGACTAATTTCCATATACACTTAATGTTCATATTTAAAGTTTAGGCATGCCAAATCTCTTGCAAGTATCTGTAATTATCTCAGAGCTGAAAGGCTTTAGAAACCATCTATCCCAAAACCCTAATTTTACAGACGGAGAGAAAAAGCTCAGAAATGGGAAGTAACCTGACCAAGGTCATAGGGCCAGAAAGAAGCAAAGCTGGGACTAACACCCAAGAATCTTCATTTTCAATCCATTACTCTTTCTACTTTTCATGCTGCTGTTCCACCTGAATTTCTAATTGTATGATATTTTTGTAAAGTTAGAGTGAGGGTGATCAAGATGTGGAAAGGATAACCGTATTCATTCATATAAGGACTGTATAGGAAGAATGGATGGATGAATACGTGGATGAGTGGGAATTCTATAATATTATTCACAAGATACATATTTGTTTTGAAAAAACCAAGTCTAGGTCTTGTCACATGTCACAGCCATCACCGTATTCCACAAGATACCAATCTTAGCAGCAAATAATCTTCTGATATATTCTGCAGTTGAAAGAGTATTCACTTGCCAGCATACAAATAATAGCAAGGAAACTCACCCTTAGTCTAATCTTTCTGGCACCCAAACCCATCACTTCCCTGTCCTATGCTCACTCTTTACCAGGCGTTGGTGCATTACATTTGCATTCTCACTTCGTTTACACCTGTCTCCCTGGATTTCTCCATTTACAGCAGGTGCCCTTTGCTAACTCTATGCCTCAGTAAGCCCTCCCCCACTCCCCTAATCACTTGATCACCTTCTCATTTCTATTTCCAAATCTCAGTCTTTTAAAACCCCATGATTCCCTCTCGCTTACACGGTGATGTGGCCGGCGCCCCGCACCAATACAGGGTCGGGGGCATATCTCCGCAGATGCTCCTCGCTCACTACCCGAGGCGGTGGCGGCGTTTCCTCCTCCTGCTCTTTCTCTTCTTCTTCCTCCTCCTCTTCCTCCTCATCTTCCTCGTCATCGTCGGGCCCCGATACCGACGACGACGACGGCGACGACGACGACGTTGTCGCTTCCTCCTCCTCCTCCTCCTCCTCCTCCTCCAGTTCCGAGATGGTGTCGAACTCCGCCATGTTGGGAAGCAGGATGCTCATCACGTGACGTCTAGATCGCCGCCACCCTTACGTAGAAGAGTCTGAACCTGCTGAAATGCTGGAGAGGAGGGGGAACGAAATAAAGAGAAAGAGGAGTATGGTAGGGATAGGACTTGAGGAGATGCGCCTGCGTATTAGGGCAGACGGGAATGGGGGTTAAAGTGTACGCTTGCGCGGCTCTAAGCGAAGAGGGACGTTAGAGGTGAACTCCAGAGAATTATGGAGGTCGGGTCTGCGGGTGCTGGTCTTAATATTTATCTTTGGTCTTTGGCTGCTTGGATCCGGGGGGAACTTATGGTTTTACTTCGTACTGATTAACAGTGAGTATTATTACTCACCCCCATCCCACAATGTAGGGAAAGCATATTCTATAAAAGTCAGGTTCGAACTTTGCCCCAGATATCTAAAGGTGTATACCAGTTCTTTACGTTTGTTCATCATTACAATTTAAAAGACTTTAGCATTAGAACTTCATCACACTCTAGAAAGCATTTTTATAAATACTTTACTGAAGCGGAAACTTTCTGTTACTACTTCTATTCCTACTGTGTGATACAGAGGACTTTCTAAGCTAAGCACTCGAATATACTTACCTCTTTTAATTCTTCACAACCTTATTAAATATGTACCATGATTATCTCATTTCAAAAGTAGAAAACCTAGATGCAGAGAGGATAAGTAACGTGTCCAAGGTCATGGAGCTACTACATGGCAGTTCTGATTTTAAATTTCGAGGTCTCTTCTGATTCCAAAAGTCTAGTAGTTAACCAAGAGACTGAAATTGTTTGGATAGGTTTTGAAGAGTGGTACCTTTTGAGTGACTTTTTGAAAGATGTTTGAATTTTGGAGATTTTTTGGAGAGTTGGTGGAGGGGAATGGGGCGGGGAGCATTCCAACCTAAGTAAACATTAATTAATGTCATTCATTTTCCAGAGACTGAGCTATATTCTTTCACTTACAGTATCTCCGTTAATCCTTAAACAATCCTGTGAGGTAGGCATCTATTTTACAGATGGCACAACAGAGTCTCAGGAAGTTTAGGTAATTTAGCAAAGTCTATGGTTACCTTTTGTCTAAATTTTTTTTATTTCAAACATTCTATCTTCACATCCACTAAAATCTTGTAGAGATCACGTATTTTGAGTTTCCAATCCATGTCTGAAACAATTTCATTCCTTCATGTCATAATTCAGGGATCATTAAGATAGGAAAGTCACACATCTGCTAAGTACTAAAATAAATACTGTAATCCAGGTATTCTGTATCAACTTCACTGCTCTTTCTGCTACACTACAGCTGCATCCCAATTACATGTGACACTGGAGAAACAGACAAGGCCACACTTTAATTTAGGAGGAGCTTTACATTAGCAGTATTGCAGTATAAACAAAACATTTAGGGTGTATGAGGGAGGAAGAAATTAGTTCCATAAGAGGCATTGATCAAACCATCATCATTACTGAGGAGCTTGTTATTAAAATGAAAAAAATTGTTTCACTCAAAAGCTTGATTATTTAAGAACTTAAAAAATAAGTTGTAACACTATCAATAAGCAACAGAATTTACTTTTTTGTTATATTTTATATACTAGCCAGAAATTATAACAAAAGATGGAACCTTAAAATATTTTTATAATAGCCTTTTGGGTTTTTAAAAAAATATTTATTTATGTATTTATTTTTTCAAATACATTTGTCTCTGCCTTCCCCCCACCACTTTCCCTTGCCCCCTCCCCCCCAACCCTTCCCCTTTGGTTTTTTCCATGAGACCTTGTTATATGTTCCTTGACTTGCCCCTTCCCTTCCTTTTTCCCCCGCCCCGCCTCCCTCCTTCCCTCTTGTCTCTGTTGGTTTCTTTTCCTTTCAGTGTTGCTGGTCTTATTTTCCTTGCATCTTTGTATTGTTGGTTAGGTTCCGCTTATAGGTGAGATCATATGGTATTTGTCTTTCGCCCCCTGGCTTATTTAGCTTAGCATAATGCTCTCTAGTTCCATCCATGCTGTCGCAAAGTTTAGTACTTCTTTTTTTTTTCTGCTGCGTAGTATTCCATTGTGTAAATGTACCATCATTTTTTGATCCAATTATCTACCGATAGGCATTTAGGCTGTTTCCAACACCTGGCTATTGTAAATTGTGCTGCTATGAACATTGGGGTGCATAGGTTCTTTTGAATTGGCGTTTTGGGATTCTTAGGGTATACTCCCAGCAGGGGAATCACGGGATCCAAAGGCAGTTCCATTTTCAGGTTTTTGAGGAAATTCCACACTGCTTTCCACAATGGCTGCACCAGTCTGCATTCCCACCAACAGTGTACTAGGGTTCCCTTTTCTCCACAGCCTCGCCAGCACCTGTTGTTTGTTGATATGTTTACGATGGCCATTCTGACCGGTGTGAGGTGGTACCTCATGGTGGTTTTGACCTGCATTTCTCTGATGGCTAGTGATACCGAGCATCCTTTCAAATGTCTCTGGGCCCTCTGTATCTCTTCCTTGGAGGAGCATCTGTCCAGGACCTTTGCCCATTTTTTGATTGGATCGTTTGTCTTCTTGGAGTGGAGTCGAGTGAGTTCTCTATATATCTTGGAGATCAAACCTCTATCTGATGTATCATTAGCAAATGTGTTTTCCCATAGGGTTGGCTCCCTTTTCATTTTTCTGATGTTTTCTTTAGTTGTGCAAAAGCTTCTTATTTTGATGAGGTCCCACTTGTTTATTCTTTCCTTTATGTCCCTTGCTTTAGGAGACATATCAGTGGAAAAATTACTGCGTGGGATATCTGAGAGTTTCCTGCCAATGTTCTCCTCTAGGACTTTGATGGTGTTGCGACTTATATTTAAGTCTTTTATCCATCTTGAGTTTATTTTTGTGTATGGTCTCAGCTGATGATCCAATTTCAATTTTTTGTATGTAGCCATCCAGCTCTTCCAACACCATTTGTTGAAGAGGCTATTGTTGCTCCATTTTATGCTTCTGCCTCCTTCATCAAATATTAGTTGCCCGTAGAGACCTGGGCTTATTTCTGGGCTTTCTATTCTGTTCCACTGGTCTATGGGTCTGTTCTTGTGCCAGTACCAGATTGCTTTGAGTATAGTGGCTTTGTAGTACAGTATGATGTCCGGTATTGTGTTCCCTCCTACTTTGTTTTTCTTTCTCAGAATTGCTGTGGCTATTCGGGGTCGTTTATGGTTCTATATAAATTTTTGAAATGTCTATTCTATTCTGTGAAATATGTCACTGGTATCTTAATAGGGATTGCATTGAATCTATAAATTGCTTTGGGTAGTATGGACATTTTGGTGATATTAATTCTTTCAATCCATGAGCACGGTATATACTTCCACTTATTTGTGTCTTCCTTAATTTCTTTCTTCAATGTTGTATAGTTTTCTGCCTACAGGTCTTTTACCTCCTTGGTTCAATTTATTCCTAGATACTTTATTTTTCTTGTTGCTATATCAAATGGTATTTTTTCCCTGATTTCGTCTTCTTCTGTTTCATTGCTGGTGTACAAAAATGCCTTTGATTTCTGAATATTGACTTTGTATCCTGCTGTTTTGCCAAATTCACTTATTAGGTTGAGTGTTTTTTTGGTAGAGTCTACAGGGTTCTCTATGTACACTATCATGTCATCTGCAAACAATGATAGTTTTACTTCCTCCTTTCCTATTTGGATGCCTTTTATCTCTTTCTCTTGTCTGACCGCTGTGGCTAGGACTTCCAATACGATGTTGAAAAGAAGCGGTGAGAGCGGACATCCTTGTCGTGTTCCCGATCTTAGTGGGAAAGCTTTCAGTTTTTGCCCGTTGAGTATGATATTGGCTGTAGGTTTTTCATATATGGCCTTTATTACGTTGAGGAATGCCCAATTTATTCCCATTTTGCTGAGTGTTTTGATCACAATTGGGTGCTGTCCCTTATCAAATGCTTTTTCTGCGTCTATCGAGATGATAATGTGGGTTTTGGCTTTTATTTATGTGACGGATTAGGTTTATTGACTTGCGTATACTGAACCATCCCTGCATGCCTGGGATGAATCCCACTTGATCGAGGAAGATGATTGTTTTCATGTATTGCTGGATGCAGTTTGCCAATATTTTGTTGAAGATTTTAGGATCTATGTTCACCAGCGAAATTGGCCTGTAGTTTTCTTTCTTTGTAGGGTCTTCATCTGGTTTTTGGATTAGGGTGATGCTGGCCTCATAAAAAGTGTCTGGGAGTCTTCCCTCCTCTTGGATTTTTTGGAATAGTCTGAGAAGGACAGGGGTTAGCTCTTCCTTGAATGTTTTGTAAAATTCTCCTGTGAAACTGTCCGGCCCTGGGCTTTTGTGTGGGAGTTTCTTGATAACTGCTTCAATTTCCCTAGCTGTTATCGGTCTGTTCAAGCTTTCCGTTTCTTCCTCCTTCAGTGTTGGAAGATTATACTTTTCTAGAAATTTGTCCATTTCACCAAGGTTTTCAAATTTCTTGGTATATAATTTTTCGTAGTAGTTTCTTACAGTCCTTTGTATTTCTGTGATATAGGTTGTTATTTCTCCTCTTTCATTTCTGATATTATTAATTTGGGTCCTCTCCCTTTTTTTCATGATGAGTCTGCTTAAAGGCTTTCAATTTTATTTATCTTTTCAAAGAACCAGCTTCTGGATTGGTTGATCCTCTGAATTGTTCTTTTTGTCTCTATGTCATTCAGTTCTGCTTTAATCTTGACTATTTCGTTCCTTCTACTTGCTCTGGGATTTATTTGTTGTTGTTTCTCCAGTTCTTGAAGTTGTTGTGTGAGGTCTTTTATTTGAAATGTTTCTATCTTTTTTAGGTAGGCCTGTATTGCTATGAACTTCCCTCTCAGGACTGCCTTTGCTGTGTCCCATAGGTTTTGGACTGTTGTCTGTTCATTTTTATGTGTTTCCAGAAATGTTTTGATTTCTTCTCTTATCTCATTATTGACCGATTCATTGTTTAATAGTGTACTGTTCAGTCTCCATGAGTTTGCAAGTTTTTGAAGTTTCTCTTTGAGGTTGAT